TGGTATTACAGGCATGGGTACAATTACTGGCTTTTTTGCTTTGGTTTTGTAAACAGTTCTCACTATGCAGCAGCAGCTAGCTTGGAACAATGTAAACCAGTCTGGCCTCAAACTCTCAGGATCCATCTGTCTCTGCCTCCTGAGCCCTGGGATTAAAGGAATGTTATTACTATGCATGGCTTCATTGTTTTAAATTGTATTCTACTTTCAGTTGGTGATAAACATCGGTAGGTTTTGTTTTGTTTTGTCTTTGAGATAGACTCATGTAGCCCAAGCTAGGCTCAAACAGTGCAGCAGAGGCTAAACTTGAATTCCTGATTCTCCTGCTTCTCTCTGGTTTATAGTGCTGGGATTACAGGAGTTGTGTCACTATGCTAATTTACACTGGTATTTTAACCCTTTAATTTCACGAAGGAAATGAAAGGTTTAAGTGACACTTCTACACAAAGTTCAAAAACATCTCTAGGTTATTAATACTCTGGCTTCCCTTCCTGGCAAAAGTCTATCTCCTCACCTACATTCTACTTTCACACACTAAAGAGTGTCAATCAAAACTTCCCCCTTTAGGGCACCTGCATGATTCAGGCTCTCTAGGGAAAGGCCTTTTTCATTAGGATTTCTTCCAGAAATCTGGATGTCAGGAAGCAATCAAGGTGGACTATGGTCTCCAGAGAGCAATTTGCATCTACAAGTGAAATATAATCCATAGGGTATATTCAGCAAAATGGGAAACCTGTAAGCATTTCCTTGGCATAACCTTCAGTAAATTGCTTCATTTTTCTAGGGCAGGTTTTTTTCAGCAGAGCAATGAAGGTACTAAATTTAAGCATATCTAATGTCTTTTTGGCCTTCAATACTATCAGCATACTGTGTTCCCCTTGCTCAGAATGGGCAGGGCCCATATCATCAGATCTAATTGTAGATTTACAGGTTCCAGGCACTGTCTTTCCAAAAATTAGTTCACTGATTTTTTTTGAGGCAAGGTTTACTGTAGTCTGGGTGGTTTTCAACTCACAATGTTGCTGAAGATGACCTTGCATTAAGTTCCTTCAGAGCACTTTCCTGTTCTGTTCTATAATGTAAACTATTAAAGATATATGTATTCAAATTCAAAATAAATGTAATTCAGGCTTTAGGGTTCCTTTTTTTAGATTTTTGAGACAGGGTTTCTCTGTGTAGCTTTGGAGGTTGTCCTGGAACTCCCTCTGTAGACCAGGCTGGCCTCCAACTAACAGAGATCCTCCTGCCCCTGCCTCCTGAGTGCTGGGATTAAAGGCCTTTGCCACCAGCATCTGGGTGTTTTTTTGGAGGTGGGGGTGGGGGAGGGGTGGGTAATATTTTTGAGACAGGGTCTCTTGTAGCCCAGGCTTATCTTGAACTCTGTTCCTAATGAGTCTACCTAGTAAATGCTGGTATTACAGGTGTGTGCCATCAAATCTGGCTTAATATATATTAAGCAATCTGTACTTACTATCTTCAACAGCATCTTTATGTCTTTAAAAATGGTATTACAGAACACCTTGTATTTCAACTGATTTAATTCAACACCAAACTTGGAGATTACTATTATATCCAATGATGAAAACCACTGCACTCCAGTGATAGCCCCACACTCACTGAATGTATGGGCAGCACAAATTGGAGTCACTGTGCTATGAACAAAAGAGAAAACAAAGCAGGGAGGAGTTATGGGATAGACTGGAGGGTGAATATGGGTAAAATACATTGCATGCATACATAAAATTCTCAAAATTAATACAAATTTTTTTCTTTTCTTTTTTTTGAGACCAGGTTTCTTTGTATATCAGCTCTGGCTGTCCTGGAACTCTGTAGACCAGGCTGGCCTTGAGTTTCTGCCTGCCTCTGCCTCCAGAGAGCTGGGATTAAAGGCATGTGTCACCACTGCCCAGCAATACATATATTTTTTGAGAGTAAGCCAGTATGGTGGCAGGAGGATCAGCAGGTCAAGGTCAGCCTGGGCTACACAGTGAATCTGAGGCCAGCCTGGACTGTAAGAGACTTTGTCTAAACTACAAAAAACAAATCAAAAACAAAAACAAAAAAACCTCAACCCTAGATCCCAAAAATTCTATTTAAATACAAACATATGCACCTTTGAGGTAACATAATCCAACACAATCCCCCTCCAGAATGAAATAGATTCAGAAAGATTTGACTAACTTGCCTATGATCATATGTTCACAAAACATGCACGAACCCCTGGATCTCTTTACTTGTCAGTGTGCCTCCTCCAAATTTCCAAACATTCAATCACCTAATCCCACCTCAAGACAATAGTTTTTATGAGACAATTCCCTTTTGATATTTCAAATTGACTCCTCTTTAGAGAGGTGCTGTGATTTGAATGGGAAATGCCTTCATGGGCTCATTTATTTGGTCTCTAGCTAGTAGTAGTGTTTGTGAGGTTGTGGAACCTTTAAAAAGGTCTCGTAGTCTTGCTAGAGCACATTATTGGGGCAGGCTCTGAAGTTCTATAACCTGGCTCTACTTCCTGTTCTTCTGCTTCCTGTCTGCCGTGGGGTTTCATGCTCCAGTTGCCATGTTATCTCAACAATATGTTCCCTTGGAACTGGAAGCCAAATGAACCCTTCCTCTCTTAAGATGCTCTGGTCAGGGTATTCTACAACAGTAACAGAAAAGAAATGAATACAACAGGCAACCAAACACCTGAATTTAGATTGCAAAAGTTTATTGATAGGAAGCAGTAAGCCAGACGTTTGGTTATCTTTGCCATAATAATGTATCATTTTTGAACAGTATATTAAAAATACATAATGAATTATATTTAAACCAGTACTACAAAAGTAAATTAAGAATCTACTTAAGGCACTTCAGATAAAAGCTAAATTTAAAATTTCCATAAAAGTAACACTATTTTAAGTGGAGAAAATCTGCTTTCACAGATTTTAGCCAGAGCGTGTCTTTCTTCGTCCTGAAGAATGCTGCTCTTAAAGAGAGAAAACAGACAGAACACTGACTGTGGGAGACAACCTGAAGCTACAGAGGTTACACAGCACGAGTACTGCCCAGTTCAATCTTACAAGTTTTCTAAAACTCACAGCCTAACTTCATTTGGCAGAGACAAATACAAGAATAGCAGGCAAGACATTCAGAATCACTCAATGTATAAGAAACAGTCAACAATGACAACAAACAAACCCTCAGAAAACATTTCTTCTGGGCCGATTATGTCTTCTTTCCACAAACCTCTATTATATAAGACAGAGGAGGGATAATTACATGATCAATAGTAGGAAGCAGTCACAGTATCTTTTTTTTTTTTTGTCTTTGAGATATGGTCTCATGTAGCTCAGGCTGGCCTTAAACTCACTATGTACTCAAAAATGAGCTTGAATTTCTGAGCTTTCTGTCTGTCTCCCAAGTGCGATAGGATTACATGCACGCACCACATCTGGCTTATGTAATGTAGTGGATCGAACCCAGGGCTTCCTGTATGATAGGCAAGTATTGCAGCACTTGAACCACATACCCATCTCTATCTTTTAAATGTAATATTTCTAATATTTTTACACTGTTTCACAGTTAAAATGCTCATTTTTTGTGGTAGTGGGGACTGAACACAGGGCCTCACACATGCTAGCCAAGTGCTCTACCACTAAGCTACATTCCAATTCCACACTTTAATAACAGTGGCATTTCAGATTATTCTTCAGAACTTAGGTGGAAGCCAAAGTTAGACATAATATAATCATGACTTAAATATTCCTCATGGAAATATAGCTAGCCTATATGGTTATTTCTGCTATCAGAGAAAAAGGCAAAATTCAAACAAAATCCCTTCACAATTTTATTATAGACATTTTTGAAATGAGGTGTTGATATGATGCTAGATTGTGTCTTAAATTCTTGAACTTCAGGGATCTTATTTCAGCCACCAGGATAGCTAAGAGCTGAGAGACATGCACACCACCATTCTTTGTATATCTAATTTATGGGGAAAATAAAAGCTAAATTGATAGCAGAAAGCACACCAGGGTCAATGGCAATACATGCCTGTAATCCCAGCACTTAGGAAGCTGAGACATGAGAGTCAATGTGATGTGGAGGTGACTCAGGTCTCTATATAGGAGTTCAAGACCAGTCAGTGCTATGTCACAAAAAGGCAAAAGTAAACTAAAGAACCAGGTTTCAAGAAACATTTCTTTTAGAAAACAAACACACACACACACAAAAAGCCCGGCGTTGGTGGCTTTAATCCCATCACTCGGGAGGCAGAGGCAGATGGATCTCTCTGAGTTTGAGGCTAGCCTGGTCTCCAGAGCGAGTGCCAGGATAGGCTCCAAGGCTACACAGAGAAACCCTGTCTTGAAACCCACCCAAAAAAACCCCAAACAAACACACAAATAAAAACAAAAGCCAGATTAGGCTTCAAGAAATACTTATTTAAAAAAAATAGCTCAGGTTTCAAGGAACATTCTTTAAAAACAAACAAAAATAATTCACAGACCAGGTTTCAAGAAACATTTCTTTTTTTGTGGCACTGAGGATTGAACCCAGAGTGTCACTCATGCTAGGCAAGCACTCTACCACTGAGCCACAACCTCATCTTGAAAACATTTACATTTGATCTTTCTTTTTTTTGAGACAGGGTCTCACTATGTAGCCCAGGCTGGCCACAGACTTACAAAGATCAGCCTGTGTCTGCAACAAGCCTGGAAAAATGTTTCATTTCTATCCATAGGCAACAAATCAGTATTTCATGATTTTCTTTTCTCATTCTAAGAGAGTCCTTTCCATGAATACAACTCAGCTTATTTTTCTGTTAGGTAAAAGTGAGATCAACAACAATGTCTAACTAACTTACACAAACATCTGAGACCATTTATAAGTTATACTGAGTTTTAGCAACAGATTATTATTATTAGAGAAGGGCCACTTTAAATAAAACTAGAAACAGAATGAATCAGAAATCTTTCCATGTACAAGGTAGTTAGAGCACACTCATGCAGAAATCATAGTCTTGTTGTTAGAGGTACTTTTTAATGTGTAAAAGAGGCATATGTAGCTCTGATTTCAGTAGGAAAGGTACAGAAGAAGACAGATGTATCTTCCAAAGGCTACATGGTCCATTTTCAGAAGTTCACATAGTGCATATCATACCTTGGCCCCAAAGGAAAGATGTAAATCACATACATCTGCACAAAGGAAAACTAATGATGGCTTCCAGATGCAGTTGTTTGTAATAGGCAGAGGTGGAAATTCCTGCTCAGAACCTTCCATCCCCAACCTTGGATAAGATAAAATTAGATGACCAAAAGTTAACTAAAGTAGTTTTGAGTTTTGCTCTAAGTAAAATGAAGTAGTAGTTTTAAATTTTTATAAAGTACTTAATTCTACAAAAATCAAATGTTTCATAAGTTCATAGGGAAGGGAAGGTTAAGAGGAGAATAATCCCAACACTTCATGATCTTACAATTGCTTGTTAAGGCACTACACATCTTTGGTTAAATGATTAACTATTTAAATCACTTGACAAAAAAGGAGGTAATATAAAATACATGAGTTGCATTCTTCTTCAAACACCACATATTTATTATTTTTCATTTCCATTATTACCACACAGTCTGTGTCTCTGAAATCCTCTTTAACTCATCAGAAAGCTGAAAAAAATATATAACAAAATATATTAGTCTCTGATAGAAAAATAAGTTTTACTTCTTTTTTTAAAAAAAAGATTTTATTTGTTTATTTGTATACAACATTCTGCTTCCATGTATATCTGCACATCAGAAGAGGGCACCAGATCTTATGACGGATGGTTGTGAGCCACCATGTGGTTGCTGGGAATTGAACTCAGGACCTCTGGAAGAGCAGTCGGTGCTCTTAACCACTGAGCCATCTCTCCAGCCCCAAGTTTTACTTCTTATAAATACATAGTATGGTATGCTGATTTTAATATATGTACCATGACCTGAGTATCAATAACAAAAAGAGAAACACTGAAAGACCCAGGAGTCTTTTTTTTGTGACAGTGTCTCATATAGTCCAAATTGGCCTCAAACTCATGTAGCCAAAGATAATCCAGATCTGAGCGTGCCTCTACTACTGAGTGCTGGGATTATAAGTCTGTAATACTATAACCGGCTCAGTATTTATGGGGTATACAGTAGGATGATGTTATATTAAAACAGAAATTATGGAAGTTGGAATAAAGGCACAACACTTAAGAGTACTTGGGGCTTTTACAGAGGACTCAGGTTCAATTCCCAGCACCTATATGGCAACTCACAACTGCTGGTAACTCCAGTTCCAGGGGCCCTAAAACCCTTCTTCTGACTTCTGTGGGCATCAAGCATGCATGTGCTACATACACACATACATATACATGCAGGTAAAACACTCATATAGACAGAAACAAATCTTTAAAAAATAAAAATTATGCTGGGCAGTGGTGGCACACGCCTTTGATACCAGCACTTGGGGGCAGAGGCAGGCAGATCTCTGTGCATTCAAGGCCAGCCTGGTCTACAAAATGAGTTCCAGGACAGCCAGGGCTACATAGAAAAACCCTGTCTTGAACTGCCCCCCCCCCCCCCGCCCCAAAAAACCCACAAACAAAACTCTTTGTAACACCACAAAAGAAATCATCAGACAGCTGGATATGGTGGTACACACCTTTAATTCCAGCACTGAGAGGCAAAGGCAGGCAGATCTCTACGGTTTGGAGGATGATCTATATAGTGAGACTCTGTCTCAAAAAGGAGAGATGGGGAGAGGGAGAAAGAGAAGGATAGAGAGGGAGAGAGAGAGCACCACACAAACACAGACCAGGCGAGGTACATGCCTCTAATATCAGCACTTAGGATGCAAAAACACTGCTACTAAGTTCATAGGCAGTATGGTCTATATAGTGAATTACAAGCTAGTGAGGGGTACATAGTTAAGACCCTATCTCAAAAAAACCCCACCAAAACACAAAACACTCCCTCAAATAAAATGACCCCCTCCAAAAGGCTGAGTATGGTAGTGTACACCTGTAATTCCTGAACGTGGGTGATAAAGACAAGAGGATCAGGAGTTTAAAGCTACCCTGGGGTAGGTGAAATCCTGTTGCAAAAACAAAACAAAACAGAAAAAGAAGTAAAAGCCAGTAGACTTTTCAAAATGAAAGAATAAAAAGCTAAGCAATAAAATATTATAGGCTGGACAGCAGTGACATGCCTTTAATCCCAGTTCTTGGGAGGGAGAGGAAGGAGGATCTCTGTGAGTTTGAGGCCAGCCTGATCTACAGAGTAAGTTCCAGGACAGCCAGGGCTGTTACACAGAGAAACCCTGTCTCAAAAAAACCAAAAACCAAAACCAAAACAAACAAAACCCAAAACCAAACAAAAAAAGAAAAATAAGATATTATAAAGCAAAACTAACTAATCATTTTAAGTATAGGTAAAATAAGAATATACCTGTATGGATAGCCATGGTATTTTGATCGAAAGATAGAGAGCATCCAACTGAAGAATAACACAACAAGTCCAATTCCAGCCACACACATCACTGTGAGAAAAAAAAAGAGTAAAATCATCAGGTTGTACCTAACAAATCACCAGGACACTATAGGCTGTATACTTTTAAAGAGGGACATTTCCTAAGAAACAGCTTTCCAATAGATTTAAGTCCCATTTTTAGAAACAGGGTTCATCATTTTAATTTGGATTCAGAAGACAAGAGTTAGGAGGAAGATGGGTACCCTGGAAGAAAGTAAGGCACATCATAGTGCATGGGTATGGGCTTCTCTGAGAGTCACTCTCATTTCCTCCCTGGCACCCACCCCACCCTGCCCCCAGACAAGGTCTCACTATGTAGCTCTGGCTGTCCTAGAACTGGCTCTGTAGACCAGGCTGGTCTCAAACTCACAGAGATCCACCTGCCTCTGCCTCTGGAGTGCTGGGATTAAAAGTGTGCACCACCACACCTGGCTCTGACCTCCATTTTTTAATCTTGGAGAATTTGCATTTCTTGTAAGCTTACTCCACTATATTGCAATAGAGTATATATAAATATATACTTGTGCAATTGAGTTGGATGAAACAAGACATTTCTTTAAATATATCACACTCGATAGGCATGATGGTACATGTGTATAATCCCAGGATTCATGAGCAGAGGCAGAGGCAGCAGAGTTGCAGCAAATATAAGGCTAGGTCAGTCTATAAAGCAAGTTCCAAGCTAACCAGGACTGCACAGCAAGGCCCTGTCTTGAGAAATAAAAAAGGGTAATTAATTAAATAAAATCATCACAATCTTCAATAATTTAATGTTAAAATATTATCTTATGTCTATAATCCCAGCACTTGGGAAGAGGAGGTAGGGATATCAGGTGTTCAAGGCCATCTTAGACTACGTAGTGTGAGATCAGCTTGGCCCATATAAAACCATCTCCAAAAGACAAAAAAGACTAAGCACAGAGTTGGAGAGATGGCTCAACAGTTAAGACTATGGACTGTTCTTGGAGAGGACACAAGTTCACTTCTTTTTTTATTTTTTTTAAAGATTTTATTTATTTATTATGTATACAACATTCTGCTTCCTTGTATATCTGCACACCAGAAGAGGGGACCAGATCTCATAACAGATGGTTGTGAGCCACCATGTGGTAGCTGGGAACTGAACTCAGGACCTCTGGAAGAGCAGCCAGTGCTCTTAACCTCTGAGCCATCTCTCCAGCCCCACACAAGTTCACTTCTAAATACTCCTATCAGGAAGCTCACAATCATCTGTAATTCCCCCAATTCCAGAAGGGATCCAAAACCTCTAGCCTCCAAGGGTACCTATACTCACATACACAGACCCATACACAGAAGTATAATTAAGCATTTATAAAAATAAATCTTAAATAAAAAAGTCCATGTGTGATAGAGCACATGTGTAATTCAACACTCAGGAGGTAAAGTATAGAGCCAAAAGTTCAAGGCCACCCTGATCTACATGAGGAGTTCAGATGCAAGTATGCTCTTTCTACACAGCAAATTCCAAATTAGTCACAGCTATATTGTGAGGCTATCTTAACAAAAAAAAAAGAAAAAGGAAAAAAGATGCTGGGTGGTGGTGGTACATCTAGAATTAAAGGAAAATGAATATACAACATACTATGAAATGGGTGCTAAGGGGAAAGTTCATAGCACCAAGTGCCTACATAAGGAAATTGGACAGAGCTCATACTAGCAAATTAACAGCACATCTGAAAGTTCTAGAATAAAAAGAAGCAAGCATACCCAAGAGAGGTAGACTACAATAAATAATTAAGCTGAGGGATGAAATCCATAAAATAGAAACAAAGAGAACAAAACAAAGAATCAATGAAACAAAGAGCTGGCTCTTTGAGTAAATCAACAAGATAGAAAAACTCTTATTCAAACTAATGAAAAAAACAGAGAATATGCAAATTTAAAAAAAATCAGAAATGAAAAGGGTGACATAACAGAAACAGAGGAAATCCAGAGAATTGTAAGGATATACTTTTCAAAAGCCCGTGCTCCAACCCCACTCACTCACCCCCCAAAAAAGAAAAAAAGCTGGGGTGGTACATGCCTTTAATCCCAATACTCAGGAAGCAGAGGCAGGTGGGTGTCTGTGAGTTCCAGGACAGATTGGTCTACAGAGTGAGTTCAAGGACAGGAAGGGCAACACAGTGAAACCTGGTCTTGAAAAAAACAAAACAAAAACCTGTATTCCACCAAATTGGAAAAATCTAAAAGAAATGGATAATTTTCTCAATTGGTACCACTTACGAAATTAAATCAAGGCCAGATAAACAATTTAAACAGATCTATAACCCCTAAGAAAATAGAAGCAGTCATTACAAGTCTCCCAATCAAAAAAAAAAAAAAAAAAAAAAAAAAAGCCCAGGGCCAGATGGTTTTGGGCAGAATTCTTCCAGACTTTCAAGAAGAGCTAATACCAATACTTCTCAAATTATTGCACAAAACAGAAACAGAAGGATCATTGCCCAATTCATTTTATGAGGCCACAGTCACAGACCAATATCCCTCATGAATATTGATGCAAAAATACTCAATAAAATACTGGCAAACCGAATCCAAGACACATCAAAATGATTATACACCATGATCAAGTAAGCTACATTCCAGAGATGCAGGGATGGTTCAATATACAAAAATCTGTCAATATAATCCACCATATAAACAAATTGAAAGAAAAAAGACCCACATGATCATTGCATTAGTTGCTTAAAACTCCTTTTACAAAATCCAACACACCTTCATGATAAAAGTTTTGGAGAGAACATACCTAAATGTAATAAAAGCAATTTACAGCAAGCCTATAGCTGATATGGGATGTCCTTCTGTATGCTGTGAATATATGTTGCTTTTATTGGTTGATAAATAAAGCTGATTTGGCCCATGGCCAAGTGGAATATAGCTAGGCGGGAAATTCAAATAAAGATAGAGAAAGAAAGAAGGTGGAGTCAGAGAAATGCCATGTAGCCACTGAAGAAGTGAGATGTGAGGTAACAAGCCACGAGCCTCATGGTAAAACCCATAATAGAAATTTCTATAATAGAAATGGGTTAATTTAATAGTGAGAGCTAGTCAGTGATATGCCTCCCTCCACCAACTGCCAAACAAATATAATTAAAGCCTTAAAGAAGTTATTTGGGACTGGCAGGTGGGATGAAAAACCTTCAGCTACATAGAGCCAACATCAAATTAAATAGAAGCTCAAAGAAATTGCACAAAAATCAAGAACAAGACAAAATTGTCCACTCTCTCCATATCTATTCAACATAGTACTTGAAGTTCTAGCTAGAGCGATAAGACAACTGAAGACCAAAGGGATACAAGTTGGAAAGGAAAAAGTATTGCTATTCAAAGATAATATGATAGTATATAAGTGACCCCAATAATTCTTCCAGGGAACTCCTACAGCTCCGAAATACCTTCATTTAAGTGGCTGGATACAAGATTAACTACAAAAAACAGTAGCCCTCCTATATACAAATGAACCGAGAAAGAAATCAGAGGAACAACACCCTTCACAATAGCCGCAAATAATATAAAATATAGGGCATTGGTGGCACATGCCTTTAATCCCAGCACTCGGGAGGCAGAGGCAGTCGGATCTCTGTGAGTTCGAGGCCAGCCTGGTCTCCAGAGCGAGTGCCAGGATAGGCTCCAAAGCTACACAGAGAAACCCTGTCTCAAAAAAACAAAACAACAACAACAAAAAAATCCCAAAAAACAAAAAAGGGGGGAATTTGTTAAAAAAAGAAAAAAACCCAAAAAATATAAAATATAAAATGTCTTGGGGGTAACTCTAACTGAACAAGCGAAAAACTTGTACAATAAATAATTCAATTCTTAGCCAGGTGGTGGTGGTGGTACATGCCTTTAATCCCAGCACTTAGGAGGCAAAGGCAGGTAGAAATCTCTGTGAACTAAAGTCCAGCTTGGTCTACAAAAAGAAAATGGGGAATAGCCTTGAACACATTGGCACAGGAAAAGACATTCTGAACAGAACACCAATAGTACAGACAATAAAATCAACAATAATAAATGGGACCTCATGAAACTGAAAAGCTTCTCTAAGGCAAAGGACACAGTCAATAGGACAAAATGGCAGCCTGCAGAATGGGAAAAGATTTTCACCAACACCCAGAGAGCCAATATTCAAAATATATAAAGAACTCAAGAAACCAGACATCAACAAACCAAATCATCCAATTTTAAAATGGGGTACAGATCTAAATAGAGAATTGCCAATAGAGGAAAGAAAATGTCTGTAATACTCAACGTAATACTCAACATCCTTACCTGTAAGGGAAATGCAAATCAAAACTACTTTGAGATTCTATCTTACACCTGTCAGAATGGCTAAGATCAAACACAAGAGAGAGCTCTGGCTGTGGAGAATGCACAGAAAGAGGAACTCTCCTCTACTGGTGGTGGAAGTGCACTATGGAAATCAATATGGCGGCTCCTCAGAAAACTGGGAATTGATCTACCTCAAGACCCAGCTATACCACTCTTGGGCATATACCCAACAGATACTCCATCCTACCACAAGGACAACTGCTCAATTACGTTTATAGTGGCTTTATTTATAATGGCCATAGTACAGGAAGCCTAAATTGGCAGCAATCCTCTTGTCTCAGCCTGTTGTACTGGGATCATAGTCTATGCCACCACACTCAACAATATGGGAATGTTCTAAAGCATAAAGAGTAGATGGTGCTTGTTACTGATTTCCTTAGCCCTCTGTCTCAAGTTTTGAAACTATAGATGTGTGCTGCCATAGCCCACCTAATTTTTTTGTTTATTTTGTTTCAAGGAAAGGCCTTCAACATAGCCTGTCTGACCTGGAACTTGCTATGTATGTTTACTAGTCTGGCCTCAAACTTGCATTAATCTTACTTCTGCCTCCCAAGTGTTTAATTTTTAAAATGAGTAAAAGATTCAAACACACATTTACACAAACACACACACACACACACCATTTGCACTGTTAGTGACCTTGCCTTTGTAAAACAATCACATCACCTTAGAGCTCTATCCCAGGACTGCCCACAGTTTTTTTCTGTTGTTGTTTTGTTTTGGGGTATTGGGGATTGAATCTAAAGCCCAGTACACACTAGGAAAGTACTCTACCAGAGTTACATGCCCAGTCCTTTTTTTACTTGCTTATTTTGAGACAGACTCTTAGTAAGTTGTAGTCTGGCTTCCATCTCATTTTATAAACCAGTTAGGCCTTGAACTTGTGATCCTCTACCTAACCCTCCTGAATGTATGGAATTAAGGGGCAGTACCATTAGGTCTGGTTCCCACATATATAGTTTTTAAAATGTTTTTTACAGATGGAGCTGGAGAAGTGGTTCAGTTGGTAAAGTACTTGTCTAGCATATACCAAACCCTGGGTTCAGTCCCCAGCAAAACAATCAGACACAATGATACAATCTGTAATCCTCATGCTGGCAAGGTGGAAACAGGAGGATCAGAAATTCAAAGTCAGCCAGTCTGAAACAGATTTAGGCTATATGAGACCCTGTCTCAGAAAACCAAGATGTGGGGCTGGAGAGATGGCTCAGAGGTTAAGAGCACTGGCTGAAAACCAAAACCAAAACCAAAACCAAAACCAAAACCAAAACCAAAACCAAAACCAAAACCAAAACCAAAACCAAAACCAAAACCAAAACCAAAACCAAAACCAAAACCAAAACCAAAACCAAAACCAAAACCAAAACCAAAACCAAAACCAAAACCAAACAAACTAACAAAAAAACCCCAAGATGTTCTTGTAGTTTTTTTCAAGATAGGGTTTCTTTGTGTACCCCTGGATGTCCTGGAACTTGCTCTGTAGACCAGGCTGGCCTTAAACTCAAAGAGATCCATCTGCCTCTGGCTCCCAGGTGCTGGGATTAAAGGCATGCACCACCACTCCCTGGCTATAAGATGTACTTATGAGTGGATCAAAGAGATGATGAACATGGGGGAGGCTGAGACAGGAGGACTGTAAGTTCAAGGTCAGCTTGGTCACATAGCAGAGCTTATGTGAAAATAAACAAAAAAACTAACCAACAAAAAAGTGGAAAGAAATAGATTATATTAAAATTATTAGTTGTTTTTGGTAGAATAATATGAAAACTCTTCTTAGAAGTTTCACAGTTTCTTGTTCATATTTTCTATAAAGGGAAAATCAATTAGAGAGGGTTCATTTTTCTTCATTAAAGGTAGAATTGGAACACTGTGGCATGAGACTTACTCCTTCGCTTCCCAATATCCATGCCAGAGGTAGCAGCTTCACATAAAAGCACCATACCTAAGGTAACCCCACCATCTTAGAAAAGCTGTTTAAGGAAAAATTCATGAAGCCACAACAGATACACCACTTTCCTGTTCCCAGTTTCTCATGAAGAAAATTAAGATGAATACATAAACCTTCAAGTCTTAATTTTACAACAGTAACCAAAACAAATACTCTTACATTATACAATATTTTTTACTATAAAGACTTAGTTGAAAAGTAAGGTTGAGCCAGGCGGTGGTGGCACACACCTTTAATCCCAGCACTCGGGAGGCAGAGGCAGTCGGATCTCTGTGAGGTGGAGGCCAGCCGGGTCTCCAGAGCGAGTTTCAGGATAGGCTCCAAAGCTACACAGAGAAACCCTGTCTCAAAAAAACCAAAAAAAATTTATGTACATGATGCACGTTGTATGCTACTGTATGTGGGTATAATTAAGTGGTAAGAGAGAAACAGGTATTCTAATGAGGCACTATAATTGACTACATTCATCTCTTCATTACCATCTTGTGCTCTCTCTTAAATAGCCTCTTGTTAGGAATGACTGTCCATTTTCCATTTAAAAAAATTTTTTGTTGTTGTTTTGAGACATTGTTTCTCTGAAGCTTTGAGGACTGTCCCGGAACTCACTCTGTAGACAAGGCTGGTCTTGAACTCACAGAGATCCGATTGCCTTGGCCTCTGAATGCTGGGATTAAAGGCGTGCGCCACCACCACCCAGCCTTTTTTCCTGTTTTTAATGAACTAATTAGTGTGTATGTGTATGCCTGTTCGCACTTGTGTCACAGCAGATGTGTGGAGGTTAGAAGACAATGGCAGAAATTGCTTCTTTCCACTATGTTGGCCCTGCAGATCTAACTCGGGTTGTCAAGGTTGACACAAGGTAGGTACCTCTTTACCTGCCTGAGCCCATTGCTGTTTTTGCTGTTGTTCTTGTTGTTTTTTTTTTTTCTGTTTGTTTAAGTTACTCAGCCAAGACTCTTCTCCAGCATTTTTCCTTTTTCTTACTGTGCTCTTTGTATCTGTGTTTTCTCTGAAGGATACCAGGAATTGAACTCAAGGTCTTGTGCATGCTAGGTAAGTGCTATATAACCAAGATGTATCTCAGGCCCCAATTATGCTTTTAGCCTATTAAAATGTTTCATTTTATTTGTTTCTTTATTTGTTCATTTATTTTCTCCAAAATGGGGTTTCTCTGTGTAAAAGCTCTGCTTGCCCTTGAACTTGCTCTGTAGACCAGGCTGGCCTCAAACTCACAGAGATAAGCTTGCTTCTGCCTCATGAGTGCTGGTATTAAAGGTGTGTGACAGCATTCCAGGCTTAATGTTTCATTTTACATATCACCTAAACTTCACCTTTCTTCTAAATCCATACATCAATGAGGTAATCAATGTGGCTTTGTCAAACTTAAGATTTGCCTCTCATTACTCTATACCTTATTGGGTTAAGAAGGAAGACACAAGCAATAGAATTTCCAAAGGGTATTATGCCTGCATTAGGATACCAGCTCCAACCAAATGCTGTATAGAGAAAACAAGATTGTAAAATAGGCAAATTAAAATGCAGCAATAAAAACTTATAATAAAGGATACTGAACAGTAGAACAATGTGCGTTTCAGCTACAAACTGAGCTTGACTGCTTCCATGGATATAGTTCTGGGAGGGGAAGAGAAAATGGAATCTTTAAATTACACATTGAACTGTAGTGTCCTAACCCTAAAATATGGTATGTTAAACCTTATGAAATTATCAATTCATTTGGGATATGTAAGTATATACCATACTTTGTTTAGCTACTAAAAGCTATTTCTCCATTATTTACTTCTTTCTTTGTATTTATACTATGCATTTAATAACAAAAATGTATGAGAAAAATGATATTTAAGAGTATAAAACTATGAGGTAAAACATCATAGTCATGACGATAGGAATTACATTTTTCCAGTCAACCACCATATCTGATAGTGCCTAGAAATAACAGATGCTCAAATACTTATTAATTCTTATATTTAGTTTGAGACTGACTTCCTTTCTTAGCCATCCTAGGCAAAAGAACTCAACAAACGGAATGAAGAACACTTTGGAGGACCATATGCTCTAACTGTAAATGAAGCTCCTTCACAGAGATTAAAGAGTCAAAAGTGTATCTAGTTCTGTACGTGCTGGCACTGGCCTCACAAGGTAATCATAATCACATTAACTTTGGTATACAATGCAAAGAAATTCCCAATTTCTCTTACCACATGTCCTGTATGGGGATTCTTATGAGCATATGGTGGTCCTCTTATATGGTTCCACATTTGACCAGATGTCATAGCAAGTACAAAACACTAGGAAACAAAAGAATGGAATACTCAGGGTCCAGTTAGCCCATCTTGATTAGATAAGTAGATGCATAAAAATGCTTATCCGCCGGTGTTGGTGGCGCCTTTAGTCCTAGCACTCGGGAGGCAGAGGCAGGTGGACCTCTGTGAGTTTGAGATCAGCCTGGTCAACAAGAGCTAGTTCCAGGACAGGCTCCAAAACCACAGAGAAACCCTGTCTCGGAAAACCAAAAAAAAAAAAAAAAAAAAAAGCTTATCCATTCAGGAAACACAAGACTTTTTCTTCAAAAAAATGATTTCTTTATTAAGGTTTGTATTTTAATCACAAGGATCACAATTCAACATCATTTCTGAAGGGATTTTAAATTATAAACAGAGAAATTTCAAAATTCAATATTGAAAATATATTCAAAAATATTTTCAAAACAACTGTAACTGGGACTGGAGAGGTGGCTCAGTGATTAAGGGCACATACTGCTCTTCCAGAGGATCTGAGTTTGGGTCCCAAGACCCATGATGGGTGGCTCCTAACTTCCTGTCACTCCAGCTTCTAGGGAATCAAATGCCCCTGTCTGACCTTTATGCATACCTTCACTTATTCACATAAGCCCCCAGCATATATACCTAAGCTAAAAATAAAATGCAGCATAAAAAAGAACTACAAACAGAGTCAGTTGTTTGAAACTTTGTAAATCCTAATAAGATAATGAGGGAGATAAACAGGAAATAAATATGTACAAAATCTTAGGACCAGAGAGAGATGGCTTGGCATATAAAGGTGTTTGCCACAAAAGCCTGACAACGTGTTTGATCTCCAGGACCCACATGGCGGAGGATGATAAATGAACATGAGGACTTTTGAATTTGTACTAAGTGCATTTTGCATGATGATACGGCCATGGCAAGCCTATGGGGGTCTGGGAGTGGAATGTAGTAGTTTTGAAAGAGAATGGACCCTGTGGTGGTTTGAATGAAAGTGGCCCCAATAGGCTCATAGGGAGTGGCACTATTTGAAAGGATTAGGATGTGTGGCATTATTGCAATAGGTGTGTGGCCTTGTTGGAGGAAGTGTGTCACTTGGGGTAGGCTTTGGGGTTTCAGAAGCCTAAGGCAGGCCTTGTGGCTCTCTCCTCCTTCACCCTGATGATTTAGATGTTGAATTCTCAGCTCCTCCAGCACCAAGTCTGCCTGTATGCCACTATGCTTCCCGCCATGTTGATAACGGACTGAACCTCTGGACTGTAAGCAAGCTCCAAGTAAATGCTTTCCTTTTTTAAGAGTTGCTGTGGTCATGGTGTCTCTCACAGCAATAGAACACTGACTAAAACAGACTCATAAGCTATTATGTTTGAATGCTTGGTATCCAGTTGGTACAACTGTTTGGGAAGGATTAGGAGATGTGGCCATTTTAGAGGAGGTGTGTCACTGGGGATGAGCTTTGAGATTTCAAAAGATTTGTGCCATTCCCAGTGTCCTCTCTGCCTCCTGATTGTGGATGGAGATGTGGGCTCTCAACTGCTCCTTCACTTCACCATTATGAACTCTAGCCCTCTGAAGCTAAGCCAAATGAAATGCCGTCTTTTATAAATGCCTTGCTCAGGTGCTTTATCATAGCAATAGAAAAGCAACCAAAACAATGGCCTAAATTCAATTCCCAGAATCCAAATAAAAAAAGCTGAGGGCATGTGGCTGGAGTGATGACTCAGCAGTTAAGAGCATTTGCTTCTCTTGTACAGAAGTGGCATTTGGTTACCGGAACCTCCATCAGGCGATTCCCATAACTCCAGGGGATCCAGTGCCCTTTTCTGGCCTCCAGCCAACCTAGCTCAAATCAGTAAGACACCTTCTGAAAACAACAATAACAAACCCCAAGGCAGATGGATCCTGGGGAACAATACCTGAGGTTCACCTCTGGCCTCCTCACACGTGAACACATACATCTACATAAATAAGCACCAACATTCACATTCACCAAAACAAAAATGGGGCTGAGGAGACAGCTCAGTGGGTAAGAGTATTTGTTGTGAAAACAAGAGGACCTGCGTCTAAATCCCCAGCACTGAAAGCCTGGCATCCTTGAGTTGAGGAACAGAGACAAGCAGATCCCAAGAGCTTTGGCTAGCTAGCCTAGCCCAAATGGAGAGTTTCAGGTTCAATGTGGTGCAAGATCCTGTCTAAAAAAATAAAGTGCAGTCAGTTATGGCAGTACACGCTTTTAATCCCAGCACTTGGGATGCAGAGGCAGGTGGATCTCTGTGAGTTCAAGACCAGCATGGTCTACAGGGTGAGTTCCAGGACAGCCAGGACATGGGGGAAGAGGGGAATGGATGAAAACAATCAAAAGGTAGAGAACAACAGAGAATGACTCTGGGCATCCTCCTCTGGCCTATGCATGTGCAGTTGTATGCATGTACACATACACATGTGTCTGTGTGTGTACATACACACGCACCCCCCAAAGTATTTTTTCACATAGATAAAAGCTAACAGAACCCAAGAAAATAAATTCTGAGCTGGACGGTGGTGGCACATGCCTTTAATCCCAGCACTCAGGAGGCAGAGGCAGGCGGATCTCTGTGAGTTCAAGACCAGCCTGGTCTACAAGAGCTAGTTCCAGGACAGCTTCCAAAGCCACAGAGAAACCCTGACACGAAAAACCAAAAAAGAAAGAAAGAAAGAAAGAAAGAAAGAAAGAAAGAAAGAAAGAAAGAAAGAAAGAAAATAAATTCTGTGTGGAGTAGTATATGCTTGTAATCTCAGCACTAGGGATATGGAGACAGGAGGATCTCTGGGGATCACTGGTGAAACTCCAGGTTCAGAGAGAGACCCCCCCCCATCTCAAAAAATAAGTTGAAGAAGTGACTAAGGAGGACACCCAATGTCAATCTGTGGCCTACACACAAAAAAGAAAAAGATAAAGGTAAAGAAAATAGAACCTTCTTTTTCAATCAATTTTTCTTCTTCAGTTCACTTACCAAAGCTGCAAATGCCCATCCAGTTTTATTAAAGAGGAATTCCATATTGCTTCTTCGAAGATACACAAGTCCACCGACAACAGCCAGAAGCAATCCCAACATTAAGGGTCCAGCATAATTTGGAGGTCTAATTACTCTAATCTAATGGAAGAAGAGAGAAAAACATTGTAAAATATAAAATTTATTTTCTAATTAATAATAATGAAATGAAAGCAGACAAAATGTATTTTCAGGAAAAATATTTTTTTCTACCACTTTACTCCAATCAAACAGTCTAAACTATATCCTAGAAACAATATGTAATAGGCATAGTATTATTTCAGTTAATTAAAACACAATACCGCCATGTGTTGGTGGCACACGCCTTTAATCGCAGCACTCCGGAGGCAGAGGCAGGAGGCAGGTGGATCTCTGTGAGTTTGAGATCAGTCTGGTCTACAGAGTGAATGCCAGGACAGGCTCCAAAGTTACACAGAAACCCTGTCTCAAAAAACCATAAAAACAACAAACAAACAAACAAACAAACAAAAACCCCAACACAATACCTTTTAGATTTAGAAATGTTTGCCAAGTACACACTTAAGGTCAGGAAAATGGTTTCTAGTCTGAACTCAACAGTCTAAGACAATGTATTTTATAATTTTACTCTTTATCAAGATGATCCTGTTAAATCCTACTTATGAAAGAACCACCAAATTATTCCATCTTAGTGACATGAAGAAAAGACCAGCTATGATCCCCAGTTTAGATTCAAAGAGAGTGAAAACATAACTTTTTGTAAAGTAGGGAAACTTACATTGACATCAGTTCTGTCTGCGATCCACCGGGCAATCTGTTCAGCTGAAAACCCTCGCACCTGCAACTCATATGTATCAGCCCTTTTGGGTTTTCCTTTTGGAGGAAAGTTGATGAAAGTTGGAGCTGAATTCATGTTTAGCTGAATAAAGAATAGCCCATGAAAACAAAAGTTACTAAGAAAATATTTTTTTAAGATTTCTTTATTTATTATGTATACAGTGTTCTGCCTGCAGAACAGAAGGGGGCACCAGATCTCATTTTAGATGGTTGTGAGCTACCATTTGTTTGCTGGGAATTGAACTCAAGACCTCTGAAAGAACAGCTAGTGCTCTTAACGGTTAAGCCATCTCTCCAGCCCCAGAAAATGGTAAATAATAATTTTAAAATTTAGACCTTTCTTTTGACATAGGGTTTTGTTGTGTCATCTGGGCTGACCTTGAACTTGCAGTAATTCTCTTGTCTCTGCTTCTTGAGTGCTAGGATTAAAAGCATGGACAACCATGCCTGGGAGAAATTTAGGCTTTCACATACATGAAGATCATGATTATATAGTTGAAATTGGATTAAGGAGAGTTGTGGAGCAGGCTTTCAAACACAAGGCTACCTGTGACTGTAACAACTGTACTTTATTATCCAAATAGAAATTTCTAGATAACACACGATTTTTCTCAACTTGAATAGGAAATTTCCCATAGCAGTTATTTCAGGTTGTTCAGCGATTCTATTAAAAGACTTTACATTCATAACACCTAAAATTATTTTTATATAGCTGTAACAAACTCATGAAACTAAAATGGGAAGAGTTCAGGTTAAAGGGCTGTTTGAGCAATACACTGAGTTCAAGACAAGCTTGGACAACTTAGTGAGACTCTGTCTTGAAATAAAACACCAGACATGGGGTCATACTCCTGTGACCCCAGCACTGGGGAGGCAGAGGCAGGTAGATCTTTGTGAGCTGGAGGTCAGTCTGCTCTATAGAGTGACTTCCAGGACAGCCACCTCTCAACTGCTATGAATATAGGCACAAGTTACTGTCTCTGGCTTGTTCTTTATATATTTACAATAAAAATATGTATAAGTGGAATTCCCTGAAAAACAAGTTCTCAAAGGACAAGAACACCCTTCTGCCAAATAAGGTAATTACCTGGAAGACAAGGCTGCAGTCTGGATCAGAGATGATCTTGGGAGATTCAGACTGATCCCAAGCTACGTTGACTTAGGATTGACCATCTTGATGAACCAGAACTGAGACAATGATCAGATGACACCTTGACCTGGCTGTTTAATTGTACATATTTCTTACCCCCTGCCTCAATTCTTCTGTTTAAACTAGTAGAGGGTGTCACTAATCATCTGTTCTTCCCACATTGAACAAATTTCTCTTGCTTTACATTTGTGTGTTCGAGTGTGTATGCATATAAGTTGTCAGTTAGGGTGATGAATATCTATAGTCCCAACACTTGGGAGATGGAGGAGGAAGGACTGGAAGATTGTATCCAGCCTTCACTACATAGACCATGCCATCCAACAACAAACTTAAATTGGATGTTACTTGCTTACTACACATTTTATTTAGTAGGTTGGCACTTTTTTGATTAATCAATTAATCACTTTTTGTGATCAATCAATTTTTTGCTTTTAGTTCACTAACTACTCTAGCTTTTACATTAAAGTAGTTTTATTCAATGTCTTAACAATCATTTCTGGATTTATTTATTTTATGTGTATGAGTGTTTTGCTTACATAAATAAATGTGCACTACATGCATGCCTGATGCCTGTAGAGGCTAGAAGAAGGTATCAGATCCCCTGGAACTGGAATTATGGATCATTTTCAACTACAATGTGGGTGCCCAAATCCTCTGCAAGAAGAACAAGTGCTCTTAACCAAGTAGCCATCCCTCTATCCCCACTAGTTAACTTCTTGTAATCACTAAAATAGTATTTTGCTTTATTCTGCATAAAAGAAGAAACCAAACATCTCACCATTTGAAATACATCAGAACCTTCATCAAAATCCACCATGGCAAAAAATATCCTGTTGGTAAATGCACTGGAGTATCGCCAAGAATTTGCCAGAATCTGGAATTCTTCATCGGCTTGCCTGAATGCCATCAGATTGGTGGGGAGAAAAACAAACAAACAAACAAAAAATATATGAAACAATTTAAAAACCAAACCAGCTTATCAGCAGTAAAACAAAACCTAATTAATTAACAGTAATTTTTTGTTGTTTTTTTCAAGAGGGTTTCACTGTGTAGCCTGGCTGTCTTGTAACTTGCTCTGTAGATCAGGCTGGCTTTGAACTCAGAGATCCACCTGCCTCCTTTAATCCTCAGTCGTGGGATCAACGGAGTGTGCCACCACTGCCTAACATCATGGCAAGTTTTAGTAAAAGAAATAATATTAAAAACTGTTGGTAAATTGGGTGGTGGTGGTGGTGGCAGCACTTGCCTTTAATCCCAGCACTCAGAAGGCAGAGATAGGCTGATCTCTGTGAGTTCAAGGCCTGTCTGATCTACAGACTGAGTTCCAGGACAGCCAGGTCTGTTACACAGAGAAATCCTGTCTCAAAAAAAAAGCTACTGGCAAGTAAGTCATGTATAGTTGATAAGGTTAGAACACACTAAGAGTTAGAGATCTCACCAGAAATCAGTAATTACATGACTCCATTTCACAATTCATACCTTTAAACGGTTTATTTTTGAATACCAAAACAAATTTTTTTCTTTTTTTAAAAGACTGACTTATTTATTTAATGTGCACTGGTGTTTGATCCGATGGAACTGGAATTACAGTCAGTTGTGAGCTGCCATGTAGGTGCTGAGAATTGAACCCGGGTCCTGTGAAAGAGCAGCAAGTACTCTGAACTACTAAGCCATAAGCCATCTCTCCAGCCCCAAAAACAATTTAATTTTTTTTCAATATGGGGTTGCACTTTGTAGCCCTGGCTATTTTAGTCACTCTGTAGACCAGGCTGGTCTTGAACTCACAGAGATCTGCCTGCCTTTGCCTCCTGAGTGCTGGGATTAGATGCTCATGTCACCACAGTTAGGCTCGAAAACATTTTTGGCAATCACTGAAAAAACAAATCCAGCTAATCCTCTCTAAACTGTGGGGGCTTCATCCTTTTAGTGCTCCCTCCAGATAGGGTTTATTTGTATAGTCCTGGCTGTCCTGGAACTAAAGTATTTATTTATATGAGTGTGTCTGTGTGTGTGGGGGTGTGCATGTGAATGCCAGTGCCCACTGAGGCCAGAGGCATCAGATCACCTGGAGCTGGAGTTACAGGAGGCTGTGAGCTGCCTGACCTGGGTTCCTAGAACTGAAATTGGGTCCTCTGCAAGAGCAATGATGGGCTCTAACTGCTGCTTCTCTCTCCAGCCCCTGTGCTGCTTTCACTTTCAGTTTTAAAACGGTCTTGTTATGTTGCTTAGCCTAGACTCATACTACTGATTTCAAATGCTCCTTCTGTTTTAGACTCATCAGCAGGAAGGATTATGGACATATATAACCATACCCAGTGTCTACACATTTATTTTTTGTTTTGGAGCTGGGGATTGAATCCAGGTCCCACACTTTCTAGGCAGGAATCTAACACTAATCTATACCCCAAAGTCTCACAACTTTGAGACCCTACATCAACAGGCAGAGATCTAACAGACTACCTTAAAAATGTGAAGTATGTAGCCAGACACACACAGTGGCACAGGCCTGTAATACCAGTGCTCAGAAGGCAAAGATGGGAGAACTGCCAGAGTTAAAAGCCTGCCTGCTGTTATAGCAAGTTTCAGGACAGCAAGGGATACACAGTGAGACCCTGCCTCAAATTTTAAAAAATTAAATAAAATCTGGAGGCTGAGATGACTCGGTTACTAAAGTGCTTGCCTTGAAAGCATGAGGACATGAGTTCATTTCCCAGAAGCCATGTTTAAAAAGCAAGGGTGGTGGTGTTCCTATAATTACAGCACCTGGGAAACAGAGACAAGTAGATCCCTTGGGCTGGCTAGTTGGCTAGTCCAGTCTAACCAGTGGGCTCCAGGCAAAGGAGAGACCCTGCTTCAAAGGAGGTGGATGTCATTTCTGAAGATGACACCAAGAACTGTCTTTTGGCCTGTACAACTAAGCACACACATGCACCTGCACACATATGAACACAATGCACAAACCCTCACACATACTCTGAAGTACACATGCTATTCGCTAAGTAAACATACAATCAGATGAATTAATATGATAAATGACAAGAAAAATCAAGGGACTTCAAATAAACTGAAACCTTGAGTTACCCTTTCTTTTTAAAAATTTTATGTGCATTGATGTTTTGCCATGGGTGTCAGGTTCCCTGGAACTGGAGTTACAAACTGTTGTGAGCTGCCATGTGAGTGCTGGGAATTGAACCCAGGTCCTCTAGAAGAGCAGTCAGTGTTCTTAACTGCTGAGCCATCTCTCCAACCCCTGAACTTTCCTTTCTTTTCTATGTTTTCATTTTAAAGATCTGTTTATTTACATGTTTCCCCATATATATGTTTTTATCTTACTTTTTTCAATCCTTTGGGGTTATCTAAGTAACAAAAGTGTATAAACTTATACCTATTTATCAAAGAAGTTTTGGGGTTCTAGTGTTGCTATTTTATTTTTAAATTCTTATTCTTCTAGGAAACTTTTTTTTGGCTTTTTCAGACAGGGTTTCTCTGTATAACAGCTCTGGCTGTCCTGGAACTCACTCTGTAAACCAGGCTGGCCTGGATTCACCTGCCTCTGCCTCCCAAATGCTGGGGATTAAAGGTGTGTTCACCACCGCCCAGATAGAAAACTTTTTTTTTTTCATCTGTGATAAACTTTTGACTCCATCCTCTTCTGTCTTGTATGTATTTTAATGCTGGAGATTAAACCTAGAGCCTATTTCAATTGACATGCACAAATCTATTCTCTATCCACATTTTTAAAGTTTTGCTCAGTACACCAAACATTCTTCAATTGAACATAAGCAAATCTTTCTGAGTGTCTAAAGATGAAATCAAGTGATTCATACCAATTATGGGACAATAATGAACAAATTTGCAGCATAAATATTCAAGACTGGCATCGTCTAGCACATTCCTGAAGAAAAGCTATTTGGAGGGGAAGGGATCATTGTGTTGTGACATGGTGGTGGCATAGAGACTGAGCCAACTAGCCTATGGTCCAGTGGTAGAATAACACCTCAGCAAACCATTCTGTAGCTGCAGACACACATAGCTAGAAGGTTCCTCTCTGAAAATGACTTCTTCTCTCCTCTCTGGAAATGACTTCTTCTCTCACAGTTCCCCTTATACCTCTTCATCCTTTTCCAGGCAACGAATTGGTTTAAAACATTTCATAAGGGCTGAGGCTAGAGTTATGGCTCAGTGGTTAAGAATACTATTTGTTCCCAGCACTTACATGAAGGCTCACAACTACCTATAATTCCAATTCCAGGACATCCTCTTCTGGCCTCTGTGGTCCCTTCATTCAAGTGGTACACAGATACATATGCAGGCAAAACACTCATACCCGTACAATTTATTTTGTTTTTTTGAGACCAGTTTGGCTGTCCTGGAACTCATTCTGTAGACCAAGCTGGTCTCAAACTCACACAGATCCTTCTGCCTCTGCCTCCTGGGTGCTGGGATTAAAGGTGCATGCCACCACTGCCCAGCCAATTGTTTTAATTACAAAAGGGGCTATCGAGGTGAGTCAGCTGTTGCAGAGAATCTGAGTTTGGCTGTAAGCACTCACACCAGGCAGCTCACAACCACTTGTAATGGAAGATGTTGGCCTCTAAGGGTACCTACTACATTCACATGCCAACTCCCCTGAGCCAACTCACCAGCCCTTGAAAGGGATTTTTACACTTTTTCATTTAAGTCCCACCTCCTCTCTACCTATACACAATTAAGAAGGAAACTAAAGGGGCTGGAAAGATGCCTCAGCGGCTAAGAGAACGTACTGCTCTTGTAGAGGACCCAAGTTTACTTTCCAGCACCCATGTCAGATGGCTCACAACCACCTGTAACTCTAGCTCTAGAGTATCAAATGCCTCTGAGGGAACCTAAACTCAGGCACACATACCTTTACACAGACACACATAATAAAAATCAAATCTTTAAACAATAAAAATAAGGTTGGGTGTGGTGGCATATGCCTTTAATCCTAGCATTTGGGAGGAAGAGGCAGATGGATCTCTGTGAGTTCAAGGCCAGCACAGCTTACATATCAAGTTTCAGGACAGTTAGGGCTATACAGTGAGACCCAGTTTAAAAGAAATACTAATAAAAAATCCCCCTTTAAGGGCTGGTGAATTGGCTCAAGGGTAAAGGAGCTTACTGATAGCCTTACGATCTGAGAGACAACCAACTTCCACACCTGTCTGCTCTCTGACCTCTGTACACTTGCATAACACATGCATGTGCACACACACACACACACACACACACACACACACACCCTAAATTCCCTATAACAAACTTTGACTCTGTTTCACAAATATAAAATACAATCCCATGAGGGAAAAAGTATGAAAGCACTTATAAACCCTTTCTTTTGGAGTATTGGGAATTGAACCCAGGACTTTTAATGCTAGGCAAATGTTTTACCCTGATATCCTGAGCTACATCTTTAGCCTTCATAACATGGGGCTGGGAGATACTCAGTGGGTGAAAGTACTTGTCATGCAAACCTGTTGACTTGTATTCTATCCCTGGAATCTAGGGTGGAAGGACAGAATTGACTTCTAAAAGTTGTTCTCTGGCCTCCATTTGTGCACAGTGATATGAATGCACTCACACATAATAAAAATATGTAAAGGCAGCTGGGCGTTGGTGGTGCACGCCTTTAACCCCAGCACTCCAGAGGCAGAGGCAGAGGCAGGTGGAACTCTGTGAGTTCGAGACCAGTCTGATGGTTCTTTCATTTTTCAATAATTCATGATAGCTACAATATTTTATCCTTTCTCTCCTACCAACATGCACAACCAAGACTGATTATAAGACAGTAGTACTAGGGGCTGGGAAGATGGCTCAGAGGTTAAGGGCACTGGCTGCTCTTCTCAAGGTCATGAATCCAATTCCTAGTAATCACATGGTGGCTCACAATTATCTGTAATGGGATCTGATTCACTCTTCTGACATGAATGAAGACAGAACACTCATATACATAAAATACATAAATGAATAAATCTTTCAAAAAATAAAACAGTAGCTTTATCTGTTATTATATACCCCCTGAGTAAGGTATATGCTTTATTAACAAACACACTGCACAAATTTGATTCTCCTGAGATAGAAAAATAGTCAAAACCAAAAAGTTATTGAATTTCAAAGTGGAGATGAAAGATCATACTTGCAAACGACACACTGTCTATGAAGTTGGAGAGCAGTGAACATGACGATAACAGAGTAATTTCTTGGTGGAGCTTTAACGAGGCGACGGAACTTGTCTCCATTCATTCTTATTACAGGTCTTTTATTGGTCCATTCCATCAGCTGACTAACCTTCTCAGACAACACCATCTACAAAAGACAAAATGAATTTTGTAAATATATTCAATTTAGCAAGTTTGGGTTTAGCAGGTCTTGTTTATAATTGCAGTTACCCAGGAAGTTAAGAGGATCTTGGTGAGCCCAACAGCCCAAGACCAGCTTGGGCAATCTAACCTCAAATATCAAGAACAACAACAACAAAAACCAAAGAGGTTTGGAGACTATGCCTATTATCCCAGCACTCAGGAGGTGAAGGCAAGTTCCTAAGTTTGAAGCCAGCCTAAGATTCCTACCAAAACAGTATCTCAACAACAACAAATAAAGAAAAAACAGCTGGACATGGTAGCACACACCTTTATTCTTAGCACTTGGGAGCAGAAGTAGGTGGATCTCTGAGTTCAAGGCCAAACCTTGACTACAAGAGTGATAAACCTTGTTTCAGAAAGAAGTGTTTGGGGTGGGGGAGTCCTCAGCAGCAGCAAAAATACAATAAAACCAAAGTTACTTTAGGGCTGACAACCTGAGTCTGATCCCAAGAATCTACATGTGCTGTGGTGCATGCATGCATGCTTGCACAATAAAATAAGTAAATATATGTCAAAAAGTAACTTTAGCAAAGCAACTTTCTTTGTGTGTGTGTGGGGGGGGGAGGGGTGGTTTAGACAAGGTTTTGTCCTGGAACTCACTATGTAGACCAGGCTAGTCTCAAACTCACAGATACCCATCTGCTTCTGCTTCCCAAGTGCTGGGATTAAAGGTGTGAACTACCACAGCCCAGCTTGCAAAGTAACTTTCTTAAACCAAGTCCACCACAAGAGGTACACAGAATATACAAATCCCAGGGGATGGAGTGGTGTCTCACAACTTCCTTGACTCCAGTTCCAGGGGATCCAATGCCCTCTGGCCTCTTCAGTTGTCTGTACACATGTCTGCACACGTGATGCACATAAACTCATGCAGGTACAGAAACACAGAAACAAAAGTAAACTAATTCATCTTTTTAAAAAAGAAAATATAAATCCTATGAAAAAAAACTGGGTGCTGGACCTGATAATAATTTTTTCTTTTCTTTAAGATCTTACCTGGCAGCTCAGATGGGCCACAAACTTGAAATCCTCATACTTCAGCCACCTGAGTACCAGCATTCCATGGTAAGCCATCACAACTGACTCAAGTATTCTTTCTTAAAAATTATCTTAAAGTTTAGTTTTTCATAATATTTAAGCTG